CACTACTACCCTTTTAAATTAAGACAATCATTTTCGCATTTTGCTAAGAGTCCGTCGGACAACTTAGTTAGAAAACAATTATTTTGGACTGAAAATACATTATTATCCTCCAACACATCCACTTCAAACAAAAATGACATTTTTTCCACTCTTCCGCCTCTGTCCCACATTCATGTGCCGCCGACCAGCTAATTTCCGCCTCAACATCATTGGAAAAAGGTTATTTCATCTAAGATGTCTATTTTCAGTCCAAATTCTCCAATTAAGCTGTCAATTTCAGTCTAAACTGTCCAATTTTAATCTAAACTATATGAGGACTTTTAGCAAATTCAAAATACCCGGACATACGCTAACCATACAAAATATTTCTAGGGGAGTTTTAACCAATTTTCCGTATTGTTTTAGGGAATATGTATATTTATCTTATAACATACATATGTAGCGTGCTTAGGCGAACTTGACTTTAGGGCAAGATCATCATTATCTCGCAACCATTGTCGAGTTCCAAAATGAAAACTCGAATTATTGGATTATCAAAATGAAAACACAATTATATTATCAAACAAAGTCCAATTATTCAGTTAATCATGGGTAATCTCCCCAACCAAACAAGACATAAGGAGATAATATTGCTGCCGACGACAAGAATTTTCCCGTCTGGCAGAACCGCATAAACGGAATGTTTATTCAACAGTTCAATTTTTTTTAAGAATGTGCAGCATATTTTAATTGAATACGTAATTTTATGTTTTTCTCGGACAAAATCTAACAATTGGTATTTGCAATGTAAATAAATATACAATAACATAAAAAATCAATAGAAACATTGTTTTTTTTCCGATATATAAATTACTTTTATCGGGCATTTTCACTTATCTTACTCGTCGTTCCCAAGTATTAACCTTTGTCTTCCTTGCTCTAACACAAGCTCTCCCCTCAATCTGGCAATAGTCATTTCTTGTTTTGTCAGTGTTGCCGATTGGAGCTGATTGACCAGTTCTTCTGCAATGTCTAATTCCGAGTCCTTTTTCGTGTACGGGATATGTACCTTTTCGTTTTCTTTATAGTAACTAAACGAAAATGAAGTTTCCGAATGCCCGTTATTTTTATTATGCTGCCTCAATATCTCAGGAAACTGTCCTAGGCAGAAATAAAAACCTGTTCAGTAAAAAAAAAAAACCACACAGTAAATTGAAATCGAAAGAGTATCTATATTTACCACAACATGTTTAGGTTGCAACAACTTCAGTAACTGGTGAGATTTTTGCAACCTGAAAAAAAAGAAAAAAATGTTTAGGCAGATGAAATGACACATGTTTATTGGACTTGTCCGAAAATCCTACAGAGTCGAAAAAAAAAAACTTACGTTATTCCCGAAAGAAAAGGACACTGGAGGACTTTCATTTTCATATCAATTTCCATTGGCTTGAAAGGTAAGAGAGCTAAACCGGCATCCACCTCTTTCTGCAAATTAAACAAACATAAGGGCAATAAGAAACTCAGACAAAGTATCTTATACGAATCTTAATTGAAGAGCACGCTCAACTAAGGCCTCGTTTGCTCGTTTGGTTCCTAAGATGATAAGGCCTCGTTTGGTTGCCAAGATAACATTAAATAATCTAATGAAAATCCAATTATTTTATCGGATCCTTTTGACGCCCAACAAAAAAAAGCTTCCATCAAGGCAAGATAAGCCACGATAACATAATATTTGCGAGTCGAGCCGACAAGTTATTGGGGATACCGACAAGTCCTATTATTTAATTAATCATGGCTTATCTCCCCAACCAAACGAGGCCTAAGATTAGCCAAGATAAGATTAAATAATCTCATGACAACCCAATTGTATTTATTGAGCCTATTTTATTTTTATTTTCAAATTTGTGGGCCGGACGGAAAAGTTATTGGACTAACCAAATATCCAATAAGGTACAATTATTTAATTAATCATTAATCATGGCTAATCTTACCAACCAAACGAGGCCTAAGTATACAGTGGATGAAAAAAAGAATATGGAATATAATATAATAGTAGGCACCTCTATAACAAGTAGCGAATTTGGATCACCACACCACCTTCGAAGCAAATGAGTAACGGGTCCAAGTCGAAAACTCCAATGAGGACAAAATACTATGCAAGGTTCCTGCCAATTTGTTCTACGTACACAAAAAAAATAAAGTCAAATGATTTAAATACTTACATAAGTACCACACTAATTATCATGTGCAAGGGATATAAATATCTTACAATAGTTTGAGCGAATGAATGGCGGGAAACAAATACATCATTAGTTCTTTAACAATAATAATTAACATAAACAAAATAAAGCATAAACTCATTTTTTTTATTAAAATCCCAACATTTATTTTGATTTATAAAATAAAAAAAAAATAAAAAAAAAAAAAAAAAAAAACGATTTTTGACCGATTTGTTGCCGATTTTTGCCGATTTTTGCCATCGAAGTTTGACCCGCCTTAAAGGTTTGACCGCCTCGGACCGCCTCGGACAGCCTCAAACCGCCTCACAGGCAAAAAACCGATTTTTCAAACCTTTACACTAAAATCGTAAAGGTTTTGGACCGCCTCCGCCTCGGCGACCGATTAATCGGCCGCCTCGGCCGATTTTTAGAACACTGATATATATATATATATATATATATATATATATATATATAGCAGCTTGCTTGTAAGTAAGTCAGTTAAAATTCTAAATTTTATTAAATATTCGAATTTAACATACACGATCTTGCAACTGCTCACATAACCATTCCGGGATGATATTTGCATATGCCGTAAGCTCTTCTGCAACAGAAGAAACGACGAAAATGGGAACCTACATTCCATAAATGGAAAACTTGAAAAGGGAGCTTTAAGATCTATATTATAATATTCAAGTAACATTTAGAACTGTGTAAAGCAATGTAGTGCAGATGTAAGTAACGGGAAAAAGAAAAAAGAAAAAGAAAAGGTAACACAAGGAAATGGCAGTTGCAAAAAATCTATGTTTCGTGCACTCACATTCTCAAATCTTATCCAAAACACGTGTCATGCAATTTGGAATTTAAATTTGAAGTGAACGCACCTTCATATTTTCATTTTCTAGGGCAACCGCCAATTGCTCCAACAGCTGCAGAACGATCCCATGTCGACCAATAGGAATAAGAACTGAACCCCCAGCTTTTATAAAGTCAATCGAACTCGAGCATATGAAATTTAACTTCTCCATCTCCTCTGTATACTCATCGACAGAACCAAGCTTGATACTTGCTTCTAAATTGACATCATCGTCACTGTAATGAGAAATAAACAAGAATGTAAAAAGAAAAGATAACAGAGAAGACATTATAAACCAATCGAAGGACATATAAAAGCACCTTGAATTCGAAACATTGTTGTCAGCTTCGAAATTGTCTGCAGCATTGCAAGAAGAGAAATCCGAATACAAAATCACATCACTTCTTTGAAGGGATTTGTAATCGAAACTCATTGCAGTGAGCGGGGAGAAAACAGAACTTGAGATGTAAGCAACGCTTCCTTTCGGACAAGTGATTTTCCAATTACAAGAGCCTATTTCTAAACCGGAACTAAATGCTGACATCATCAATGTGCCGTTGTAGCAAGTTTCTTCGGCATACTTGAGAGACTCAACCTTCAGCATGCAATCCTTCACATCAGCTGCACTGAGAAGCATCTTTTATTACATCTTCATACACATTTATCACGGAGATATACAAATCAAGGTGCAATAAAGGAAAAGGAGAGAAGAATATTGCACGTAGAAGTTCTTAAATATATTTCAGCTTGTAATTATGCATCGACCGGAAATATAAGGTGCTTAATTAACACAAAATGTGGATATAAGCAACTCCTTAAACATATCCGGCAACCGTACTTTTTTTCTCCTTTTCTCTTATCTCCCTCCTTTTTCCAAAACTACTTGTTGAATATTTTGTTTTTGTTTTCAATGCAATAGGTGTTATGGTGGATTTAGGGCCCGTTTGGCTAAACTTATTTTAAAAAACTGATAAGCTCGTACATCAGATAAGTCATTTTAAGAGTTGATAAGCTGATACCCCTTATTTTTCAAATTAATTTTTGAAGTGTTTGCATAATGAGCTTATAAGTTGTTTATAAGATCTTAAATAAAAAGGTGGGGTGGATGTACTTAAAAACGATATTATTTGCTGTCCAACAACTTAACTTTTGATTTCTTAAGATCTTTTCCAAAAAAAAATTACCAAACACTTTGAAAGAGCTTATAAGCTCTTAAACATCTTATAAACTCATTTTGACAACTTATAAGCTTAGCCCTCTCAGTGTAGTTGATGAATAATATGCATTACATATTTTTTATGACAATAAAAGTCCTTTTCCAAATTGTTGGATCAAATAATAATTCACACTTATTCAAAACATAGTTACGGAATATTTGGTGAAGTAGTAGATGCACTCTTTATCTTAGTCGAACTTAGTGTTATTGTTTACAACAGGACCCCTTACTAAACTATGGTGATTTTCACGAATGTATAGATATTTAACTTTAGCAACAACAATTATCATCCGACTCTATTGTCTTGCATCTAATCTTAGCTTACCTGGTTCGATTTTTCACTAATAAATGGGCAGCTAGTCAAAATTAGTGCTCGATTTAGGTATACCTGTTTCACTAAAACGAGGTTCTCATCCAATATAATTTTTCCTTGCTCTTTCTTCACAACGGGAAAATCTTCAAAAAGGAGAATCATTGTCTCGACGATGCATTTATGCGTAAAAAGTTGAACTTTCTCCACATAATGAACCCGAGAAGAATTGTATAATTCGATTTCACCAGAAAATCAAATAGACGTGGCACTCAATAATAATATTGATAAAAACGAAAGTGGCAGAAAATAGCGTGCATAATACCTGTACAACGGCATCCAACCAGCGAATCCTGCCCCATCTGCACCAAACAAAATCTGCTTCAATTCAATTGGAAGTGAATCGAGTTCGTCCCATTTCATCCACTCGGGCGAGTCATACTCGGGTCCATAAAATTGACGATATTCTTTATGCATAGCGACGAGATCTTCCATCATTAGTTGCCCGATTCTAGCTGCTACCTCTGTTGCATACACCTAAAAATAAAAAAATAAAACAAACAGCTATTTCAATTAGTAAATAAAGACAATGAACCGAACAACATCAACATTTAACTTCACCAACCTTAGCCGAAAAATCTTTGTTCCGTGTAAGAAACGGCAGCCCCATCATACCCATGGGACTAGATATCAAGACTACATCGATAAACGAGACATCCCATAAAATCAAGTTCTTGACAGTTCTATAACGGGGTTGGGCGCAAATTAAACTGCTTGCGTCGAGGGGTTTATCGATTTTCAGGCTAGTTTTTTCGTTGCTAATTATCGGGTTTGGATCAATTGGGACGGGAGAAAAGACTAGTAGAGAAGAGAGGTCCATAGGGCAATCGAGTAAAATCCGGAAACCGGAGATATCCAAAATGTGGCATGGTGGGTAATAGAAACCCTTGCCTTCACTCAAGCATGTCTGCAATTAAAAAAAATTGGCGGTAATACCGATCAGAAACTCGATTAATCAAATGAATTTAAAATCTAAAATAAAATTCAAATGAGAGTAGTCACTGAACCTCAGTGAAAACTCTGATATTGTAAATAATCAATTAAGCAAATAAATGCGCAAATACTTACAAACTCCATTGAACTCACGGTTCACCGGAACGGCGCCGGAACGAACGGGAACGGTGCCCGCCGTTCCGGAATCCCTAATAAAACCGTTCTCTCCCCTTGACGCGGGCGGAACACCGAGACGGGAGAGACGTAGCCGGGAAACGGCGCTGGAACGGCGCCGGAACGGACTGAACGGCTCCGGAACGGTCGACCCTTGACGAAAGAAAAAAAAAAGGAAAAATTGTGAACGTGCTGTAAAAGAAGAGTCTAAATTATTTCATGTTAAAAAGCAATTTGTAGGGCTTTTTTTTCTTCGCAAAAACATGTTGGAACACCCAAGATGGGCGCCCAAGGCGTGTACGAACGCAGAATATCTTAAATTAGAAAAATTCTTACGCTGGTGCATTACAAATAACCCACGAAGTACGCCTAAATTACTGAATTCTCCTCTTATTTGTGAAATTATATTCACCCCTCAAACTAACATTCAATCAAAAAACCCTAACTGAAGTGTATAAAACATGATTACAGAGCACCATCCATAATATGCAGATATATTCAACACATTTGCTACGAGGTTGGCATAGCAATTGATAAGAAAAAGAGAAGATAAAGAAACACACACAATAACTTCATGATATTGTATTTCTGGTAAATTTAACTAACAGGTACAACAATTTATCACCTTCAATTGCAAGATTGTAATCTGAAATCTCAGTTGCTACTTGCCGCCGCCGGTGGGGGGACTCAGAAGAAATCGGCGGTGCACGGCGGTCCTGTGGTGGCCGGTGCGATTTGTGGCGGAGAAATGAGAAAATTGAGAGATCGATTTGGTGAAAACTGAAAAGAAAAATAAATACAAAAAAACTGATTAGGGATTTGGGAGGGGGAGCTCTTCCCAAATTACATGTAACCGACCCGAATCCGAATCCAGTACCAAATCGGTTTATCAAATCGGGGTACCAAATCGGTTTAACCGGGTACCAAATGTAGATGAAAATATAATTGGGTCCATCCCGGAGGTAAGGTCAAATTACAAAAACATCCCTCATGTTAGAATAATTACAGTCACTCATCAACTATGTATTGTCTTGTCCATCTTTACAGTGTCAAATTTACACAGGGATGTTCGCCCTGTTTATAAACTGACCGAGTTGTACCGAACGAAAATTCGGTACATGCCGATTGCCGAAGCAGTAATTCAGTGTGATATTCCATTTTTTTATTATTTTTTATATATAATTATGTATGTAATACTAGTATTTAGATTAAAATTAATTTAAAAAAAAAGTAAAAAAGAATTAAATTTTTAAATATTTTTAATAAAATTTCGGTAATTCGATTATTTACCGAGCCGAACCCTAAAAGGCATGAAAATTTGGTGTATCGAAATTTCTCGGTACAAATTTTACCATATGAACAACCCTAAATTTACCAACTGGATGGATTTTTTCGTAAGATAATACATAGTTGAGGGGTGACTGTATTTATGTAAACAGAAGGGGGTGTTTCGTAATTTGATCTTATCTCAGGGACTTGGCCGTAATTTACCCTTATTTAAAACTTGCTTTCAGTTCCATGGTTTTAATTTTAACATAAACCCTCCAAAAAACAAAAAAAAAACATAAACCCCTGAGCTCCAATTTTGCAGACAAAACACGCAGTGACACACAGTGAAATGGGAGAGAAGGTGAAATACTTGGTGTTGCTCGGAGCCGGAGCGGTACTAGGTTCTGCTGCTACCGTCGCTATCTTCAAACTTCTACCCAGGTAAATAAAATAAAATCAATAATAAATAAATAAATAAATAAGGATTTTCCGATGTTGTAATCTGCACTAATTGGAGAGCTAGGGTTGATGATTTTGTGGGTTTTCTGCAATCTCTTTTTTGTAGACGGGTTGGAAGGCAATGTACTAATGTGGAGGCGGCGAATGAATTGAATGGTATGCTAATTGATTGTTAAACTGGTTTTCATCCCTCAAGTTTGTAATAATTTCACATTTGGTCCCCATGTTCACAAAAAAAACGCATTTAGTCCAGCATGTTTCAATAATTTAACACTTGAGATCATTTCCGTGTTAGTCCGTAAGTTAAGGCAGTGATGGGCACACGATTGATTCCGTTAGCAGTAAAATAAAACTGACGAAAATGACTAAAAATATTGAATTTTGAAACATTACGGACTAAATCTGATTTTTTTGTGAAGGACCAATAATGGAATCGAGGTAAACTTAAGGGGACTAAATGTGCACTTTTCTGGGCTTTGTTATATCTTATTTATTCTGGTTAGGGAATTTTTGGAACATGTTTTTGTTTCTAACATGACTTAAATCATCTTTAATGATTTTTATTATTTTTTTTTAACATGTAAGATAATTTTATATTGATACAGACCACAAGTTTTCGGAGAATAAGAATCATGGGGCTACAGGTTCTGACCTGCTAATGGATGAAATTGTGTCTGAACAGCTTACAAGGTGACATAAGCTTTTTCTGTCCGATGACGCCGATTATATCGATTATTTCGATTATATAATTTAACATCAATTCCTTAATCAGGAATATTCAGTTCTTTGGATTGGAACATCAGAAAAAAGTGGTTTCGTCGTACGTTGTGGTCATTGGTCTTGGAGGAGTTGGTAGCCATGCTGCATCTATGCTTTTGAGGTCCGGTGTAGGCAAACTTCTCCTTGTCGATTTTGATCAGGTATTGTTAAAACTTTTAAAAACATTTCCTCCGAAATTGGGAGGGAAATTTAATTTCACTAAGGCCTTGTTTGGTTGGGGGAGATTAGGCCCATGATTAACTAAATAATTAATCTGTGTTTGATGTTTGGTTGAACCAAATAACTTCCCTGGTCGACCCGGAAATATTATGTTATCATGGCTTATTTTTCCCTTCAGGGAGCTTAACCTTCCATTCAGTTTTCTTTAGGGCCTCGTTTGGTTGCCAAGATAAGCCATGATTAATTAAATAGTTGGACTTAATTTGATGTTTGGTATCCTCAATAAATTGCCGGGTCGACCCACCAAAATTATATAATCATGGCTTATCTTGCCTTCTAATGAGTTTTTTTTGTTGGATGTTTCAAGCTCCAATAAAATAATTGGGTCTCATTAGATTATTTTATCTTATCTTGCCAACCAAACGGAGCCTAGATTCTTTAATCTTATCTTGGCTAATCATATATTGGCAGCCAAACGGGGCCTAAGTGATATGCATGGCAGTCCCCTGTAGTATTTTATTATTCGAATGGAGTTTTCTAACATTAAAAGCTTTCAATGGATTATTGTTACTTATTATGGACTCCTTATTTGCTTAAAGTATTTAAACTTCTTTTTTGAAAAAAAGTAATCATTTTTTTTTTGTTAATTGTTTGTGAAGGTCTCTGTTTCGTCGTTAAATAGACATGCTGTTGCCACGAGGGAGGATGTAGGTACCCCGAAAGCACTGTGTTTGAAGAAGCATTTCTCGACAATTTTCCCAGAGTGCAATGTCGATGCGAAAGTGCAATTATATGATTCGTCGTCTGAAGATGAAATTCTTTCCGGGAACCCTGACTTTGTACTAGATTGCATCGATAACATTGACACAAAGGTAAACAAAAAAAAACTTCTCAATTTTAATTTCAATGATAATTTTATTTTCGTTCCTACTGTTCTATAATTCTATAACCGAGACACTTTTTACTGTAGCAATCAAAGTAGGGATTTCCAAATCTTGATTCTGAAAATGAATTGAAAATCGTAACGAACACATAATTTTGAAAAATAAAATAGCGGGAATAATTTGGGAAGCTTAACAAACATAGCATTCACTTTTGGTCTTTGCTGTTTAGTAAAGTTTGGGTTTCGGCACTGGTTTTTGTCTTTAAAATAGTGCGCGAATTATGTTTTTGAAATCGAGATCGAGTTATTTGAATAAATGATCGTTTCTTTTGTTATTGCTTTGTAGGTAGCACTTCTTGCTGCATGTGTACGAAGGGGTTTGAAAGTTGTATCTGCAACAGGAGCTGGTGCAAGAGCGGATCCAACAAGAATTCATGTCGCTGACTTACGAGAATCAACTAACGATCCACTTTCTCGTGCAGTAATTAGTTTTTTTTTTCTTTTTTTTTTTTTTTTTTTTGTGAATTTTATATTACATTATTTTTCTCGTGCATGTTGTGTATAAATTTGCAAGTGCTTTACATTTTTCAGCTTCATCGCTTCTACTCATGCATTTCCTGTTTGCATAATGAAATCATTGTTAAATTTCTATGGCTTGATCGGTAAACGTATATTTCTTTTAACAAAAACACAACTAACATCAAATACTGCCACTTCTCGATTTTTCTTGCGTTTATAGTCTAAAACATATAAGATGTTCGTCTAATGTTTTTTTTCAGGTCAGGCACCGTTTAAGGAAAGATCATGGAATTGAAGGTGGCATTCCCGTAGTTTTCTCATCGGAAAAACCAAAAGCAAAGTTGCTTCCTTTCAAAGGACCGAGTGGGGAAGAAGAAAATCCTTCAGATTATCAGGTAAAAATAATAACAAGGCTATTCTTGTCAGTTACGCGTAAAAAATACTTAGAATGATAACCATATATTTTTTTTTTGTCTTATTAAGTCGTTATTAAATAACAATATATTGAAGATGATTATCAGATTGTTCCAGGTTTCCGAGTTCGAATAATTCCAGTTCTAGGAACAATACCAGCTATTTTCGGACAAGTGATGGCTTCGTATGTTTTAACTCAACTGGCAGAATTGCAAGTTCATATGGAACCCGTCGTGAATTTTGATATGGATCATTACCGTGTACTCCATCAGCGACTCATCGAACACGAAGAGTTACAATACGGTACAGCAATTGAAGTTCAGGTATTCTTCTTTTCGTCATTTCTGTACCAAATTCGAATAAGTTTTATTTTTTGTTTTTTATTTTTTGGAAAACAATGTTAAGTTCGATTTGGTTGCTCTACTTTTCAATAGTAGTATTCGTTGTACTGATACTGCAGAAATAAGATCCTCGGTTTGAAGTATTCGGAATTCGTGGAAGAAGTATGATAGGAGTATTATTATGTACACCCTTTTGACGATAAAAAAATTGTATCTTGGCAATTAAAAATACATAGAACTCTTTTCTAAGTGATTTGATCTAAGAAAATGGATTTAGATAGGAGAAGGGGAATCAGCATCTAATAAATCCAAAAACTCGATAATATCAGAAATATTGAACTCACTGTTAAAATACTCGCATTTATCATCTATTGGCTATAGGCATAATTTGTATCACGTGTTTTTGTAAATATACTAGGTAGATGTTGAGGAGGTTATGTATATAGCCAAAGAGTTGTGGCACGGCCGAAGTGCAAGAGATCAATCGCTGAAAGATGTTGGCCGTGGTATGTGGCGTTCAATCAACGAGTTGATACTTATCAGGTATGGATGTTCTTGTAAGGAAAAAATATTTCTAAGAGTTTTATTTTTCAATTTTTTTTTTTATCGAATTATGGATTATGATAAAGTTTTACGTTCAAGGGTTCACTAGAAAGTAGTCCGCATTTACGTGATGGGTCGTGTTTGAGTTTTTGAGTAACATCGTTTTAATTGTAATTCAAGAAACCTTAGTATTTGATCGTCTTATTATGTTCCTATATTTTTATAGATAATTGCAAAAAGTCCGATTCCTAAATTAGATTTTTGGTGAGAGGGGAGAGGTTCGAATAATAGAATAATCAGTAATAACAACTTAAACGACGTAGTATATATGATCAATCTCCGACTTCTACTATAATAGTATTACATGTTTTCTATGAATTCTAATCATTGTTTTTTTGATCCATCGTATGATTTCAGATGGGATCGAATGAAACCAGCTTCCGTATCAAATCTCATTCTCCTCAAATTTCAAGAGGTATGTATGTTAGCTCGTTACGAAATTTCAATAACTTACAGCACACAAACAAAATTACTGCCGCCTCGAAAATTGATAATTTTTGGCATTTTTTTAAGGTTCCGATTTCCATCGTTGTACTGAAAACTTTTCATTGTAATTTGATATTGGAAAATCACTTAGAATAGCGACTCTTTGATTTGTAGGCTGATGAGCATGAATCGAGGTCACTGGAAGATATAAAAAACCAAGAACCGGAATATTTTTCGAGAGTGACCTCTGTGCTTAAGCGCGCTGAATTGGACTTCGGGTTATGATTTTTTTCTATATATATTATTTTTTTTCTAATTATATATGACAATGTACTATGGCAACTGGTAGATTGAAAGAATGATTTAAATGGCACATTGATTATTCTTCTCAATTGGAGATGAGTGTGACATTTATTTTAGGGTATATGAATAAGATTATTATTTTGATTTGAAGTTTAAGCAATTCGCTGTGTCGTTCATATTTCTTTTATCATTTTCGAAATACTTCTTACTCTTAAAAGGTCTACTCTATGCTGCACCGCGTGAAATACTTCGGGTAGATTTTTACCTTTCATATACAAACAAATACATTCACCCACATTGGTGTGTGCAGATCAACGGTAGAAAAATCTCCCGGTAGGAGATAATTTTTGAAATTTGACAAATATGGAGCTAATTTCCTATAAAATTGATGAGATGAATGTTGTCTTTCATTTCATCAATGAGTGCTTGTACATTTATATACACAAAATTAAGGTTTAACTATTAATTCAAATCACCTAATTAAGGCTTAACTAAATCAAAAATGTAAATTGATTATATTCCTCTAACACCCCCGTCAAGTTGGAAGTGGTATTGATATGTCAAAAACACCCAACTTGCGAATTAATCGTCGATAAGCTTCACCTCCAAGTGGTTTCGTAATAATATCTGCCAGTTGATCGCTAGAACGTAGGTATGAGGGAGCAATGAGACCTGCCTGAATTTTTCTCGAACAGGAAGACAATCAATCTCAATGTGTTTGGTGCGTTCATGAAAGACAGGATTTTCTGCAATGTGTATAGCAGCTTGGCTATCACAATGAACTGGAATCGGTTGAGAGTTGTTAAAATCAAGATCCGTTAGAACATATTTTAACCACTGTAACTCAGACGTAAGTGCAGTGAGAGAACCATATTCTGCTTCGGCAGAAGAACAAGAAACGGTTAGTTGTTTCTTAGTTTTTCAAGAAATAGAACTAGAACCTAACATAGTGAAATAACCAGTGGTAGACCGACGAGTGGTAGGACAACCAGCCCAATCAGAGTTGGCATATTCTACTAGATTGAGAGAACTAGATGCAGAAAAGAATAAATCTTTACCAATAGTACCTTTAAAATAACGAAGGATTCGATTGGCAGCATCAAGACGAGTAGAATACGGATTTTGCATGAATAGATTAAGAGTATTAACCGCATATTGAATGTCAGGTCGTGTTACAGTGAGATAGCATACGTCCTATGAGACTTCGATAGATTGATGGATCGGGAAGAGGAGTCCCATCATGTAGATGTAAACGAAGACGTGGTTCCATTGGAAAATCAGACGGACGAGAACCAGTCATCCCGGAATCAGATAAAATGTCTAGAGTATACTTGCGTTGACATAAAAAAATGCCTTGTTTTGTAGCACCCCCCCTCTAGTCGGGCGATAAATCGAACCGGTTTATCGGAATATTTTATTTAGATAGTGGAAGCAAAAGGACCTCTTTGTAATTTTTAAAACTTTCGAGTAGGACCAAAATATAATTACTAAAAAGCTCTTTTTTGGACATTTGAAAACCTTAAGAATTTCGAAAACTTTCTTAGGTTATTTTAGTCGTCTAAACTTTTCGTTTAAAAATAACTTTCGAAAGGAGGATTATATTCGAGTGCTACGTTATCTAACTATATATTTCTCTTTTGGTTCGAAAATGAAATCAGAGTTTAAAAGCATTTGGTGAGTGAAGATTTTGGGTAAGAAATATAATTACTAGTATAAGAGGACCAACTATATTAAGATTTCAAAATAAGGCCCGTACCAAAATAAAAGTTCATTTCCCCTAATGAGGAAATGCTAGAGTTTAAAAGAAACGGAAATATGGAAATTGTTTTTAGTTTACATCACCAAAATACTACTAGCATAATTTATAGATTCCTCGTACGATCGTCAAAAGCTCCGGGCAAGACTTCGATCCACTACTCGGTCCATTCCGGTGAGGGATTACTACTACTACCTGCAATGAAAGAAGTATCTATATGAGCTATTAAGTCCAGTAAGAAATCCGAATGAATAACGAGTGTTTAAAATATGTTTTACGTACTTATATTCATATATACACATAAGCATCACATCTTACCATTCATCGGCAAACGAACACACATAAACACTTAATTTCATTTAAGCACATAAATTGACTCAAATACCAAAAATTACCAAATTACCCTTTCGTGCAAATGTATGAATGAAAACATTTTCTGTTGTTCGGATCCGTGAAAAATTAACTTATTTACTTGGATGGTAAGCATATTATTTTGAGCCCGTTCTTTTGGTGGAATCAAACCACCCCTTTTTCTATAGTAACTATGGTTGGAATACCGGCCCCCCGTATCCCGACTTATCCAACCCAAGCATTCCATTAACTTCCATTAACCTTTCCTTTCGTAAAAATGAAATCTCTTTTTTTTTTTATGCATGACCATGAGACTAATGTGACTCTAACATGAAAATGACCATTTTACGACATCACAAATACCAATCAACGAATCTACGAACACAAGGAGATTATTCACATATTATACGCACACATACACGGCAATCACACATATTATACACACACATATACATAAACACTTAAGCATAGCACATAATTCACAAAATCATTGTGACCTCATACTATACATATATCATAAATCTCACACACGCAACAGTACATACACACGGCACACACACATAAACACACAAACATGCAGCCCCAAGACACAATTAAAAAGAGCATTAAATCACTAAACCATGCCCTTAAAGTACCAACATCTTTATCCTTTCATTAATGGGATTTCTCCCACTTTTATTCATTAAATGTTGTCAACAATTCTTACAGCCCCTTAACATAGATCAGCTGCAGATTTTTGAACTATAAATTCATATCCTCACAATTAATACATTAACAATCTCAAAGCACAATGATTAAAGCGTAAAAGTTCCATTCATGACACATGCAGAACAAATATTTTGAAATAATAGTAAATGGCCTCTAACAATTCTCAAATTTAATTATAGGCCTTCTAACTGACTAAAGGTCCAGACGCAAAAAGAGTTTTGCAGTTTTACCAAAAATTAAATTTATGAAAATTAAAATACCAAGCAAGTGGTGTTTAAGTCAAAAAGTGATTTTTCCAACAAATATTAATTCCAAACTATGACCAAGTAGAAAATAAACAAAATTCCACTTACTACCTACTGAGATTTGAAGATTCAAATATTTTTCAAGCTGAAATTTCAAGAAATTGCAGATTAGCCCTCAAGATTCATAGATCTACACATGCAACCCCAAAAATCTTGAAAACTCACTTTCTTTTGCCAAAAATTCCCAAAATAAGAAATATTTAATCTTTAACCATAAAATACTCAGATTCACAGATTATAGTATGGATTAGACATGCAAGGACACAAATTTTAAGATTAGCACAAGATTTTGAATTTTACACAAAAAGCTCTAATTTTCGAAAAGTGAAGCAATCTTTTAGATAATTTTGAAAACTATTTTCCATACTATGATATTCTATAATTGCAGCAATAAATTCGAGATTTCTTACCTAATAAAAGAGGGTTGGCCGAAGAAAAACCTTCAAAAGAAAAGAGGGTTTTTAGAGGAAGAAAAGAAGGAAGAAGAGAAGGGAGAAAATGAAGATTTTATAGATACAAATGTTACCTCCTTCAAGAAGTGGCTCCAAAATCGAACCAAGCTAGTTGAATGGAGAAAGTGGGAGCTTTGATATCAAGTTGGGAGGAGTTTTGATCTCCCGTAAGAGGGCAAGTATTCTTGAATTTCTCTATTTTTTTCTTGGAGGAGAATGAGGTGGTGGCCGATGGAGATGGTGGTGCTTCGGTGGTGGTGGTGAAGAAAGACAAGTGTGAAGTGAGGTGGAGAGAGAAGAAGGTAGGAGAGTGTCCTTTGATATTACTTAGCATGCTTGAGTGTAGGATCAGTGTAGAACCTCACTATTTGCCAAGTGTACAAGCATGCATATTTTTCCTAATTTATTTTCTAATTAAAAAAATCACTAATCTCTCTCTTACCCACATAAACCGAACACACACACACACACACACACACACACACACACACACACACACACACGCACATATATATATATATATATATATATATATATATATATATATATATATATATATATATATATATATATATATATATATATATATATATATATATATATATATATATATATATATATATATATATATATATATATATATATATATATATCCGGAAGTTTGTCCATCCATGGCAAAGGATCGAACTTGAACTCTTTCCGGATGAGAAGAGCCTTTTTGAATTCAGTTTTGCAGGTGAGCGAGATGCCGAGTCTACCTTTGCCAAGTCCCTCTTTATAGGAGGATTTAATCCATCAATAGCAGTAAGTTGCTTTTGAGTTCAATTATCATTACACCGAATCTTCTTAGTTCGACTCCGCCTCAGGTCGAGTTGCTTTGTAGAATAGTTTATATAGCATATGCATACATGTACGTGTATATGCATGTATTATGCATGTAATCATACTTATGATAAAATCATGAAATCACATGAATTAAGTAACTATAGCACATGTATTCACATAAGTCACATAAATTAATCTAGCACATAATTATAGAAATAAAGTTGGCATATAATTATTTAATAAATAAATTTCTAGCACATAAGGCACATAATTATATAATCAAATTGGCATATAGAAATAATTAATTAATCTAAGCAAATAAAGCACTTAAAGCAATTAAGTTAATCATGTAGCTAAATTCCTAATAATTCTTACTTAAGGATGTTTGGTTTATCGGGTTTCGGTTAGGAATTAGGGTTTCAAAAATGTGGGGTGTTACATATTTAGAACGAGATACTTCAATGCCCAAAAAGTATCGAAGATCACCAAGATCTTTTATGGAAAAAGAATTGGCAAGAAATTTTTTGATATCAGATATAGCGTCATCATTATTTCCTCTATGATAATATCATCAACGTATAGGAGTATAAAAATGGATGTCTTATTACAAATATATGTAAAAAGAATGTAGTAGACTAATTGAACCATCTGAGCGATATTTAATTTTGAAGACCCATTTACAACCAATGGGTGATTTTCCAGGTAGAATTTAACATAAGGACCTGTTAGGATAGTAGACTAAAAGTCTCGCTTTTAACTACATAATTTTATTATTGAAT